TGTATATATATTTTATTGCGAAATACTTTCCGCTCCTCTCTACGGGAGAGAAATCGTGTCTCCTGTTTTCCTTACAGAAAATTAGAATCTAGTGAATTAATAATACAGTGAATTAATAATACTTGAAGTTTGATAAAGTCGGCGCACGTCTTGAAGGTAAAAAGGTAGAAGAGTGACTGCACTTGGCGACGAAGACGAAGTGGTCTTGTCCGGTGTGGCGGGGGTGTTAAGGGAAATCTCGTCTCTTTGTCCCTTGGAGTGACGATCGTGGTCATCCTCTATTGTTTATTGGAGATTAGCGAGTTGGTAGAGATAAATAGCCGCCGGTGCTATTCGAGTGGAGCTTCCTTCATCAGTCTTAGCTTATGATGCCTTCTCATAAAATATTACAATTGTGCCCTTTTACATTTAGCGGTACATACCTATTTAAATGTTAACTTGCGTTTTAATTTAGGCAATAATTTGTTACAATAATAGTTAATGCATAAACCCGGAAAAGGGTTCGAATTAATAAGGTTTGTGAATTATATTATAATGTCGTTTTGTAGAGCACTCGCTAGTACGGCGAGCCTTTATCGTCATTGCTTGCATTCCGCGAGAGATAGGAGCACTTACTGCGCTTCAAAGCGGCGTAGCAGGATTTCTTTCGCTACAAGTACTATTAATTCTCACATCTGTAGCCCTTATAATTAATTTCTTACTTCTAATAATATTTATTAATTTCTTACTTCTAACAATATTTTAATGAATAGTTAAAATCGAATAATAACAAAATGATCCTTCAAACTTGCTCTGTTAGAATTAGATGGACTCGCACAAGTTCCTTTTGGTAAGAAATGAAAATTGAATTCATTCAGACGTCACAAGTGTTACGTCTGGGTAATATAAATTATCGACCGAGACTTCGTAACTGGATAAATCAATGTAATTATTAAATCTTGTAAATTCAAATCCTTCCCTAGTTTTCAGTCACCCTGCGTTCACCGGGTTTACTGGGGATTAGGGGGTTAGTGATCCGTCGTCTAAACCAGATACAGTAATTGCATAAGTATTCACTCACCAAAATTAGTATGGGAAAATTCTCTGTATAATATATATATATATTATTATTGTGACGTCTATACGTGTTCTAGTATAACGTACTTGATTAGGCTACGGGCAGGTAGACAATCAATATATCGCTCTCTAGTAATACTGGTAATTACTGTATTTATTGTATTAGTTATATGCGACGTCGAGCCGAGACTTTTTACAAGCTAACGAGAGAGAGGGACTGGGGCGCCCTCGAGTCTTAAGACGCCTTTGTCTGTTACTAACGCTATATGTCACATCCCTCTTTTTCAAGATTTAAACTGAATACAATCAAAATATGAAATTTGAATTAATTAGGCTCGAGATCTTAAGTTGAACAAGCAAATGAATTTGTCTCAAATAAAAGGCTAAACTAAACTTCACAATTCCAAATTAGAACGTTAAATAACGTGTTAAATAAGACTGGTTGCTGATTATAAATTTAATCTTGTTGGTGGTCGAACTGCTCGTCCGGATCGGGTCGTGGTAGTGGGAACTTTGGTGTTCTCGCCAGCCCCTGCAGTTGCCTCGGTATCCTTTGTCTCTGGTTGTTGGTCATCGATATTGGTAGGTCCTTCGAGTCCTATTGGAATGGCTGTCGACGGCTGTTTATTTTCTCCCATGTTCGCTGCTGTTCTGTGCACGTCTGAGTAGTTACGTCGAAGTACAGTTCCTTCTGAGGTTTTGACGATTACTGATCGTGGCGCTTCATGATGTGTGACCACCGTGCCTCCTTTCCATTGTCGATGTCCGGTTCGTATTCGAACATTTTCACCTGGTGTGACTTCTAGTTTCCCAGGCCTAGTTCGATCTGCATATTTCTTCTGTTTCTGACGAGCTTCTTCGAGGGCTTTGTTTGTATCAGTTTTCTTCTCCGTATTTGCTGTTGGAAGTGTCGTCCTGGTCGGCTTACCAAACAGTCTCACTGCTGGTGATTGTAATCCTGGTCTGGGAGTATTTCGTGCAGCGAGAAGTGCGCTTCACGATTTGTATATCAGAATCATCTTGTTGGCATTTTTTCAGTAATGCTTTTGCACGAACCTCTCGGCTAATCCGTTGGATTGTGGATATCCTGGACTCGATGTTACGTGTTCGAAGTTCCATTGCCTTGCAAACTTCTTAAATTCGCTTGACGCGAATTGCGGTCCGTTATCTGATATTAATTTCTTCGGAATTCCGAATAATGAAAACCAATGTTTAAGGATTTTCATAATAGACTCACTCGTTGTTGTCCTTAGTTTGACTACATCGTAGAATCCGGAGTAGCTGTCTACTATAAGAATATACATATCTCCTTTTATTTCAAATAGGTCCGTTGCTACCGTATTCCAGGCTTCATTGGGAATCGGATGGAGCTGTATCGGTTCCTTGATGTTTGCACGTTGATATGTCTGACAGATGACGCATTTATTCGCATAGTCCGTTATATCTTGTGTCATTTGTGGCCAGAATATCGCTTCTCTTGCTCTGTGTAGATTGCTTTGTATTCCTAAATGTCCTTGGTGTATTATCTTCAAGTATTTGGATCTCAGTGTTGCTGGTATCAATGGTCGATCACCTTTAACTATTATTCCATCGTATAGTGACAATTCGTCACGGTAGTTCCAGTATTTTTGTAACTGTGCTGTTACGTCTTTCACTTCAACTGGCCAACCGTATTCGATGGTATTCTTGAGCATTTGTAACTCGTCATCTTCTTTTACTGCTTTCTGTAGTTCCGTTTGTGCATTTGTTGACATTGGTAACAGTAGATGAACGATTAGTTCCTCGTCATCCTTGGAATCTGGCTCGTTATTTACACAGTCTCTGCTGAGTGCATCAGGAATGGGAATTGTCGTACCCGCTTTGTATACTATCTTTGGTGAGTATGGCATTACGTCAAAGAGAATCTTTTGCAGTCTTGTTGGTGCGGCTAGTAGA